ATATACACAAAAAATTTCATATAAATCGGTCAAGTCGTTTCGGAGAATAAGAATAACAAACACTGTGACAGGGGAATTTTATAGAGATAAGATATATATATATATATATATATATATATATATAATAAGTAATAAGAATCTAATCTAAATCCATTATTTCATTTGATAGAAAACAAACTCTTAAGAAAAACACGTTAAATTATTCTTTATGAGATGCAAACCAATAAAAAAAATGACACATATACGAGTAATCGTAAATTGTGCAATAATGCAAACAAGTTAATGAAATTTTTTATATTACAGAATAGCATTTATGATTGGGTAAAAGATCACCGGGTCCATCACAAGTTCACTGATACGGATGCCGATCCTCATAACGCGAAAAGAGGATTTTTCTTCTCTCATATTGGTTGGCTTATGCTAGAAAATCATCCCGATGTTAAAATAAAAGGTGCTACTATAGATATGAGCGATCTCAAGAAAGATTTATTGGTCGTATGGCAACACAGGTAAATATCAATTACTTTAGAATATTTTCTAATCATTTTTTGTCTTTATATTAAATAATCGATATTATTTCCTTGCTTTATTTTTTTACTAGACATTATAGAATTCTTATGCCACTGATGTGTTTCATCATTCCTACGTTGATACCTATATATTTTTGGGGAGAGGGTTTGAGGAACGCTTGGTATGCTACTGTTACCAGATACGTCCTATCCTTAAACTTTACCGGGCTAGTAAATTCTGCTGCACATGTTTGGGGCGTAAAACCATATGATAGGTATGTAAACGTTTTCTTATTCTTTAACCAAATTAAATAATCTTCTTGCATTTGTAATAATACATTACCTATAAGATTTTATATATACATATGTAATGTAATAAACTATTAAAATAGAATTGTTTCCTATATATATGTAAACACTTTTAATATAAAAATATTTATCACTATTTTCTCTTTTCGCAGTGTTATTTCTCCGACAGAAACCCCTGTTGTTTCATTTCTTGCTGTCGGTGAAGGTTGGCATAATTATCATCACGTTTTTCCTTGGGATTACAAAACTGCTGAGTTGGGAAACTACAAATTAAATTTAACAACGGCAATTATCGATGGTTTTGCTAAAATCGGTTGGGCTTACGATCTCAAGACTGTCTCACAAGAAATGATTGAAAAGCGTGCACGTAGAACGGGAGATGGTACAAAGTATCAAAATATCAGAGATCAACACGAGCACAATCATAAAAATTCCATTTGGGGATGGGATGATCCTGATATTAATACTGAAGATGTTCAAGACGCAAGAATAATAAATAATGTCGAATATAACGTATATAATAATAAATAATAATAATTTATCTAATTTAACATTCATTTCTTAAACTGAGAATTTTTATTTCCTTTGAGAGCACTTTTTTCCTCTTAATTTATTATTACCTTTATTATTATTATTATTATTATTATTATTATTATTATTATTATTATTATTATTATTATTATTATTATTATTATTATTATTATTATTATTATTAACTGGTATTAGATACTTGAAAGTTCAAACACAAAATAATGTACAGTTTCTTTCTGATCAATCTTTTTAATAAGTTGTTTCTTATCCATAATATCTAAACCGATATATCGCAATATTTCAATATTAAGACTTTTCTTTTACAAAACTAATACATTTTAATAGCATAAGTATTCAAAGTATAATAATATATATTATGTAAATTGATATATTATAAAAACAATTATATTTCCTGCTAACTTCGAGAATCAAAGTGGCCAAAACGTTTTCTTTGAGAAGAAAGATAATCTTTTAGGAAATTTAAATATTGTTAAAACTGACAAATTTGGCTGTCCCAACGTAATTTTTATTTTTTTACAATAGAAAAAACTTAATCTCAACATATATAAATAGTATATTTTCAATGAAGTATAAAATTAAATCTTATTTCTATAAAATTCCCCTGTCACAGTGTTTGTTATTCTTATTCTCCGAAACGACTTGACCGATTTATATGAAATTTTTTGTGTATATTCGGTAGGTATGAGAATAGTTTTWCKTATATTTCTTATACCCCTGAGTGATAAGGGTGACCCACCATAATTATTTTTCCTTTAAAAGGATATTAAAAAAAAAAAGACAAATGATATGTGCCTATATTCAGACAATGTAAAATTATATGATGTGAAGTAAGTGGTGACTTATGTTACCGCTCATGCGCAGTTGGTTCGATATTAAGAAAAAAAGAGAAAAAGAAGACAAATGTTATGTGCGTAGATTCAGAYCTATYTATATATTTATTAGCCACAGCAACGCGTGGCCGGGGCACCCCTAGTAAATATATAAATTTTAAAATATAAATAATTCTTCTTATTTAAAAAATGTAATGAAAAATGTAAAAAAGCGCTTTACAAAATGTTTAGAATGCAATGAAGGAACATTCGAACAGTTATTGTAATAAAATATATTACTGATATAAAACTTCAAATATCTCTTAAATTTTTGACATTTCGATGACCTTTACCTAATATTTTTTAACGCTGAATAAAAAAAGGAATCGAATAATGTAAAAAAAATCTAGAGCAGCTTTTAAAAAATAAGTACAACTGCATTTAGCGGGAGCATCAAGGAATTTTCAAAAAAAGTAAGGTCATAGAAAGGTGGCATGTGATGCGCCATATAACTTTTTATTTTATGATTTTTCTCTGTTGTTTATTAAAAAAAAAGGTATTACCCGTCCTCGTAACAAGAATTACCCTGTATACATGTCGAATAGCTAAAATGCATAAGGATTATAATATTAATATAAAATTTTTAAATAAGAAACTTTTTTTTTATCACCTACTTAATACACATTAAATCACTTCTCAAAAATCAAAAGTAGCATTTCTCTCCCAAATTTCAATTCTTTGTAATCTTTATATCTTTACATATATACAGCATAGTAGATATTATTCTCCCTCTCTCTCTTTCCCTCTCTCTCTCTCTCTCTCTCTCTCTATATATATATATATATTTTTTTTTTTTACAAGTGACATGGAAAAATGGGTTGCTAGACACCTTAAAACAATTCTCACCAAATATGAGCTCTTAATTTTAAAAGGAAGATCCTCCGCATCGCAGTTGTTTATTTTTTTTTTCAATCCAATAGAATAAAATTCATACTTCATCATTAATTGATTGTACAGAAAAATGTTTTAGAAGAATTTTGTAGAAAATTTAATGCTCTACAAAAAAGGTATTTAATATTTTTTCCGAAACCTCACCATTTGAATGATATTGAAGATTTAAGTTTGATTATTGTAAGACAAATTTTTCATTCGTGCTTATGAATTTTATAACTCGACAATAAATGACTATTATAAAATGCGCAATACAAATTTTTGTAGGAAATTAACTGCTCTATAAAAATGGTGTCATATGTTTTGACGATTAAATTAAGCGCTCAAAAGATATTCAGAGACAAAACTCAGTACACATGAAAGTTTGATGATGAATATCCTTGGAACGTTTAATTTAATCGCCAAATATAAGACACCATTTTTATAGAACAGTTAATTTCCTACAAAAATTTGTATTGTGCACTTTTTAATAGTCATTTATTGTCGAGTTATAAAATTCATAAACAAACATGAAATTTGTCTTAAAATAATCAAACTTAAATCTTCATTATCATTCAAATGGTGAGGTTTACGGAAAAAGTATAAGATACCTTTCTTGTAGAGCATTAAATTTCCTACAAAATTCGTCTTAAACATTTTTCTGTACAATCAATAAATAATGAGGTATGAATTTTATTCTATTGGACTGAGAAAAAAATAAAAAATAAAAAACTGCGATGCGGAGGATCATCCTATTAAAATTAAGAGTTCATATTTAGCGAGAATTCTTTTAAGGTGTCTAGTAACCCATTTTTCCATGGCACTTGTAAAAAAGAAAATAATTGATTTTTTTGACTCACCCTAATGTATATATATATATATATCTATTTGAAAATAACGTTAAATGTTAACGGCCATAGCTGTGCTAAGAACACAAGATCTCGTTCGATCATTGAGGTAAAGCAGCACTGGACATGGCTAGTAATTGGATGTGTGTGACCCGCTTGGGAACACTGTGCGCCATAAACACTTTATATCCGCCTGCATGATCACTGGGTGGATTCAGTAGCTCAATTTGATTATGTTGCCGGTCCTAAGCCCGGATAAAGGATGAGGATTGTCAAAGGGTTAGGTTTAGCCCCCTGAGAATACACAGCACTGCCGAACGAGAAGGTCAGAATTGCCGCGCGAACAAGAAGTCAATGTTAAATAACACGCGCACTGTATGTAAAAGTGAGGAGGATAACACTATGTCTCGCACAGCACGAGCGAGAAAGATAGCAATGTTCCGAGCACTGCACAAGAGCGAGAGAAATAGCACTATTTCACGAGTCGTACGAATGCGAGAGAGACGGCACTTTTTCTCGCAACGCACGAAGCGAGAGAGAATTCAGTACTGTCAGATCGTGGGTAAATCTTACCCTCTCCCTGTGCCACTGGGATTGCACACAATGAAAGTTTTCCATGTCCGTGTGTTTGGGAGTCGAGGAAAGCCGAGTGTAACCGAAGTTGGCGGTTGGCCACGAAGTGGCACACTATGAAAGCGACTCGTGTCCATGTGTTCGGACGACAAAATTCATTTCAAAAATCGTTCTCTCTGCATCTCTCTCTTATTTTCTAGCATAAACTCATACCTTTCTATCAACGTGTCCGTGAAAGAACGAATTCGACAGGAATAAAACGAACGACGAAAACTGCTATCACCGTCATCACTCACACCCCATTCCCCCTTACCCCAACCTAACCACCCCCAAACTAACATTGAAACATCATTGCATATTATTATTGGTAGAAAATTTAAATTATCTTTCTCTCTCTCTCTCTTTCTGTCTCACTTATAAAATGTTTTTATAGTTGTTATTATTGTATATATGCATTCATATATACGTACGCTTATATATAGTCACGTGTATGTATGTACAATATAAACGTGTACATTAAGATTATCGAGTTTTCACACGTTTTCAATTTCACGGATAGCGTTATCGTGCGTTTTCAATTTCATGGATATATACCTTCATAAGAGAACAGGGGGAGAATGACGTCTATCTACGAATGGGGAAACACTATTTTAATTCAAAGTTATTTAACGATACTACAAACAATAATATTTGTTTCATTTTGTTACGTGATAATATATTAAACATTTCTAAGAAATTTATTTTATTATATTTATATTTGCAAAAAAAAAGAAAAAGAAATAATTTTATTAAAATATAATTATTCTTTGTAATAGTATTAAAAAAGTAATATTAATTAATTTAATAAATTATAAAATATAAATTAATATATATAATATTAAAAATTATTAGAACCCATAGCGATTTTCATTGTTTCGTGATAAGTCGTTTTACAGTTTAGGGTTATTTAATACAATAATAGGTTATTATAATAAAGAAAGATCACATTTTACAAATATACATTATCTTATTTTCTAAATTGTTATACAATAATTGCAGTAGTTAGTAGTAGTAAATTTAAAATTGAATATTTTTCACACGCATGTTGTACATCGACTGTATTACAAACTGGACATTATTAACTTTGTAAAATAACATACAATAATAATAATAATAATAATAATAATAATAATAATAATATTAATAATAATAATAATAAGTAATCATAATAAGATATAAATATACAAGATAATAAATGCTGGAAATGTAAATTAGTAGCCGAAACAATAGAACACATAACAGGGGGTTGTAAAATACTAGCAAACACCGAATATACAGAAAGACACAACATGGCAGCAAAAATCATACATAAAGCAATAGTGAACAAATAACATCACACAGAAATACAGAGAAAAAATAGAAAAATACACAGAATATGGAAACAAAAAAAGGTAGACATCATCCCTTTCATCATATCAGCAACAGGCATCACACCGAATAATTTTAAATCACATCTCACGCAACTACAACTAGACCCAAAAAATACAAAAGACGGTTATATTAAAAACATGAAACATAACCAGAGCCTTCCTAAATTCAGGAGATTAAAACTGCCAGACCTGGCAAGAGTTCTGTCTGATATGCTAATATGCCTCGAGAAATCGGWGAGAAATAATAAAATAAAATAATAATAATATCTATGAAGAATTTTGTCTTATTTTCTCTTGCTTTTCTCTTAATAATTGTTTGAGATAAGTTATTCTTTCTTCATTTATTCTTTCAACTTCTATTCTATTCGCAAATAATACTGTGTCTTTGATTATATCTCTTTCATATTTGTCAGTCTCATAAAATAACAATTTTATAGTATCATGCATATGGATCTGATGATTTTTATA